GTGTGTGTGGAAATACAAGCATACAAAACACTGTTAAGAGTCATAATTATTCTTACCTTGTTTTCTATAACAATTTCATATTTGAAACAAGCATGTCTTTTCACATGACTTGTGCGAGGTGGTTGCCACCGAATTTCACAACCATGAGAAACTTCTGTACAGTTCACAGTGACATTTAATGGAGGGGTAAGTTTTTCTACAATAATATAATCAGAAATACAATTGATTAATAATCAGTTCTCTTCATTCTGTCTTTTTAAAATGTAGGTAGATGTTCAAGCAACTGGTCTAAAAAGATATAATGCAGCTTAACCAGAATAATTATATTCATCTCATACTCTGAAGCAGGACTCCCTGATTTAACACTCCAGTTGAGGTGCCTGGAGTATCAGCAGCAACAGTAGGTAAAATTAAAAAACACAAAACACTTGTTAGATTTTACTGAAGTCAACATATAACCTGTGCAGGGTTTTTTTTTTAATACTGTATTCATATTAAACAGAAGTGGTTTTGTTTTGGTTTTTTTGTTTTGTTTTTATTAACAACATTTTTCCATTAAAAAAGAGAAAGTTTTTGCTCAGTGTTAAGGTAATAAGTTCTTTTGTATTATGTATATGAACATGATTGTGAGATAATAAGACCAACATCTAGACAGTCCCACAAAGGCATCGTTAGCTAGTTAATCCCAAGAGATGTCCCCTTTCTTTCAGAGGATAAACTTTTGACTGAAACATTCACAAATTTCTGATCTATGATTTCAGATTGTCTCTGCATACATTTGTTTTTGTTGATTTTTGTACTTTTGGTTTTTCAGCCATCAAGGCTGGGGAAAAGGGATAAAAAAGTCTGTTCTGAGGAGTACTATTTTTAAAATGTATGCTTTTTTCCAAGGATGAATTCTTCATTTCCTTAGTATAAAACTAGAAATAAAAATGAAAAAAAAAAAAAAGTCCTTACCAATTTGGTACAGAGAAATCGTTGTGTTATACACCTGAATGTTTTGTCCACTTCTAGACACATTTACAAGGAAGGAAGCTCTCTTATTTTCTATTGTCACATTTTTGAATCTACATCCTGTGTGCCTTCCATAATTGTCTTTGATGTAATTCTGACATCCTGTGAAATCTTCATTCCTTTACATGATATAATGTATCAGTTAAATATTGAAAATATCACATCAGACCAGAAATTAAAATACCCTAGATCCAAGAAGACCTACTTACATTGAGTTCTTCCAGTACAGGAAATATTGGGTATCATCTCCTGAAGCAGTCCTGCCCACAAGCCAAGTGCAGTTCATGAAGGAAACATTAAAAATGACGCAAACAAAATTTTCAATGGCTGTTCCATTCATGCCTGCAAGCACAGGAAGAATATCCCATGTTCACTCTGTGGAAAGACTGTATAACTTCTCAAATCATGCAGATTTCTGCAAGCTCATTTAGTAATTTTTTAGCCACCTCATTAACAAATACAACTGCATATTGTTTGACTCTTAAAACTATGTGCTTTCAGATAGCAATGACTACCTCTGTTGAGCCGTGAGGATTATCTACCATTGTTACAGAGGCTGAAGGAGACCAGTGATGAGTGGCATTCCTCAGGGGTTGGTATTGGGATCTTTGTTGGCAATATGGACAGTGGGATCAAGTGCATCCTCAGTGAGTTTGCCAACGACACCAAGCTGTGTGGTGCAGTTGGCACGCTGGAGGGAAGGGATGGGCTGGGGGGACCTTGACAGGTTTGAGAGGCGGACCTGTGCTAACCTCATGAAGTTCAACAAGGCCAAGTGCAAGGTTCTACACCTGTGTCAGGGCAATCCCAAGTGCAAATACAGGCTGGGCAGAGAATGGATCAAGAGCAGCCCTGAGAAGAAGGACTTGGGGTTACTGATGGATGAGAAGCTCGACATGAGCTGGCAACGTGTGCTTACAGCCCAGAAGGCCAACGATATCCTGGGCTGCATCACACAGAAGCATGGCCGGCAGGCGGAGGGAGGTGATTCTGCCCCTCTACTCCACTCTTGTGACACCTCACCTGGAGTACTGTGTCCAGTTCTGGGGCCCCCAACACAAGAGAGACCTGGACCTACTGGAGCAAGGCCAGAGGAGAGCCACAGGTATGATCAGAGGGCTGGAGCACCTCTCTTATGAGGACAGGTTGAGAGAGTTGGGGCTGTTCAACTGTTTTACAGCTTTGGTCTCTACCACATCCCTTGCAAATAGGATGAGTAAAGGGAGAATTCAAAAGGTGTATTTTCCTCTTGTGAGCTGTAATGTGAGAAATGGCAATTCTCCAGAAAAGGAGAAGAACACACTCTTGTAACTAATATTTTTTCATGGCTTGTTCCAGGCAGCTACTGTGTTGTATGAAGGCCTTTGTGACAACTCTACAGAAGGAAGATTATTTCATTTGAGTGTATTACAAGTATAGATATATAATAAAGGTGGCTGGGATCACAGTTGCCAGAGACAAAGGCTTTTACTTAGGGCACCAAACATAATATGATATTGTTTAGCTTGGAGCATATCATCCTTTACCACAATGAAAAAAGCTCATTTGAGATGACAGTGTGGGTTAGCAACAAAGATCCAGAGGAGAGCTGTCTAAGCTATTTATGCTGCTGCAAGATATGTTGACCCCTGTCTAGTCACTAGAGGCATCTAAGCTCTCAGTATAGAGCTGCCTATATCCGACTTGTGTATAAGTTTATATATATATGTATAACAAGCCAGTCCTGAGAGTTCATTATTTATGGTACTGTACTGAGGTGATGGAAAGCTTTGCTCAGATCTCTGGTCTGCCACAGATTCACATTATGACCCAGGGTCAATCAAATCTGTATAACTTCACTTCCTCATTTACAAAAGAAATAGAGAAGTTTTGTTCCCATCAAAAAATTGTCAGGTAAATGCAGCAGTCTGAAGTATGATCATAGGTGTTGTACAAAGGTCCTATAAGGATGGGCTTTATTAAATCTTTGACAATGCTGCAAATAAAAAAAAAAAAAAAAGGTTATTCTGATTTCAAATCAGATTACAACCTGATTCACATGTAGCTGAACAAGCAGTTGAGTTGGCTGATGACACAGGAAATAGGGTGAAAGGAACTCCTAAAATGGCATTGTGGTCAAGGAAAAGGCAAATGAAACCACAACCATGGCCTCTTCAGAAATGGCCTCAACTTTTTATATCTGAGACATATGTAGGAAAAGGTACAAAAATGTACTTAGATGTTCTTTAAACTAATTAGCCTAAGTTCTGCAGCCACAACATTGTCTACAAAACAGCCATAATCAGCTGCATAGTGTTGCATTCATACCAACATCAAGCACAAGCTGAGAAGATCACTCAAATATGCATGAATCACTGTATTCCCTTTGCTGACAGGACTTTTGTTACAGGATTTGAAGGGATTTATTTTTCATTTTTTACTTATTCACCTTTTTGTGGATGTGTCAAAGAAAATCTAGCAGACTAGCCAAGTATGACTACCCTTTCTTTAGGGTTTATTTTTGAGACTACAATATTCATTCACAGTGTAAGTGTTACAGTTTTATTTTTAGAAACACTTGGAAAGGAGATAAATCTTCATGATACATTTCTGCCATTATCTCCTATTATTTCAATGACAAACTGAAATTTTTCTCCTTCCAGTTTATATTCGAGGACTAGTTAAATTTAGTGGCTTTTTGCTTACTCACTCCTCTTTCAATAATCCCTTATTTGTCACTTCTTTGTCATTATTTCCTTAAAAAAGAGGTAGGATCATACTCCCACAATACTTTTCTTTGAGCCATGATACAAAGAACAGTTTAGTTTCTCTGTAGTGCAGAGAACTAGCTTCTTCTGAAGTGCCTCCTATGTTCTTTGATAATGATAGTGAAATACATATGCAAGTATACTAATATGCTCACAAGCATCTTTTGTTTCATACATTAATATCTTATTTTCCCATATTTTAATATCTTTATCTATATTTGAAATCTTTCTTGACATTCTTTATACTTCATGAAAGAGGTAAGGTGCTTAATTGAGACAGATGTGATTATTCTGATTGCACTCAACTGCATAACAACCCCCTGTTTTAAGCAGTTTATTTACCTGGGTAGTTAGTTTTCTTAAATCAACTTAGATTACCTCCATCTCTTGGGCAGATGGTAAAAACTGTGTAGGAGTAGTAGCTGCAGAGAAATATCAGAGAAAATAAAATGTGGTTCTGCTATCCTTTGAGATAATCAGAATTATTAACAAGGAAGGACATGATCTCACCTCTGGGCTTTGAGCCCAAGATAATTTTTACTTTTATTCAGTAGTTCTTGAATAGAAAATTCATAAACTGCTCTTGACTCTTGGACACAATGGATCAGATAATTTGTAAAGGATTGTAAATAACATACTTGCTATTGGAAATAAATAAAAGGAATGAAATTGTTTTAACCTTTTAACCTAACTCTGAAGATGCTGTCAAATTGTGGTGTGGAGTTTGTCTTACCTAAACTTATCAAAGTGCTGTATAGATTTGCCCACAGAGGAACCAGTAATCCTACATTGCCTTAATAGTGGCTGGAAAGAAACAGCTACTTAAGACACAGTTTTTTCAACCTCGTCTAGGATGAGATGAATGAAGGTTTTACTATGTTTATTTCCTATCAGTCACTGAAAAGACAGCCCAAGGTGACCAGCCCAGAGGAATCCCTCTAGGACTAAGCTATCTGTCTTGGTCAGCTGAATCCATGAGGATTCATTCCTTTTCCCTCTTATGTCATCTGGAATCCACATGTAAGTACTGAACAGAAATGCTGCCACTATTCTTTTCTCACTGAAAGCTGAAAATTTATTTTTCAAAAATGCCTTTTCCTCCCTTTTCTTATACCTGTGCTAGTATCACATTGTCCTGGTTTTTTAGCTGAGACAGAGCTAGTAATTGGAAGTAGCTACCACACACATGCTGCTTCTCTTTAGAAAAAACAGTTGCTGCAGAACAATGTTACTATTTTCCTCAGAAGTGGTCCATACTTTCTTTCACATCTCAGATAATTCCTGTGCAGATTATTGATCAAAATCCTAAGGAAACATAAAGTATTTCTGTGTGAAGTTCTTTCCTCTCTTCAAGGTATTTTATAAACTTTCTATAAAAATTGGCTACTGGTAGCCTCCGTGCTACAGCACAAGACCAGTTACCTCTTGAAGCATGATGAATTCTGACACACGTCCACAGGAGATGGTGATGTTAGGAATTTGGAAATGCCACTGAGACTGAAATCCTGCTGCAGTGGCCATTCTTATCCAGATTCACTAGAGAGCTCATTAGTTGAAAATAAAAGCTGCCCAATAACCTGCTAATTATAAGTAACTTATAACCATGTAGCTTATCATGTCTTGATATTGCCATGGTTTTTATAACCAATGAAAAGGAAGGTTTGTAATTGAAAAACAAACAAACAAACAAACAAACAAAAAACAACAGTTGTTGGGGTTTTTTTTTATATTACTATTTTGTGTTAAGGGAAATATCTTTGCTGAGTATAGTACTTAAGACTAGATCTCTGAGTTTTATTTCCCATTTTTGCCTCTGAAACTCTTGGAAAGTTATTTTTTTCTGGGAGAATATATGAAATGGAATTACTGCTTATATGTTGGATGTGTTATGGGGATAAAATTATACCTACATTCCTGCGACTTTTTCAGAGAACTGTGTATATGAGAAATCTACTTCAGTATTAAAATTGTAATAAGAGAAAAGACCTTGACATGCTTCCATTCTACTAGTGCCTGAATGCAGTACTTCTAAAAGGAATTCACAACTGCATAGTGATTTTGCTCTGTGGATGTAAAGAGCTAAAGTCTGAACATTTCCAGTTCTACTGTGTTTTCAACAGAAAGTGGCATAGGCACTCTTCAATGCTGTAATACAGGTTTTAACTTAACAAACTAGATACTGCTATGTGGATGAGGCCAGTAATATTGAAACTTTGGTAATTTAAAAATAATTTATACAATTTATTTTTTTTTTTTCCAGACTGCACACCACCAAAATTTTGGCTAAGACATTAATCAGACAAAAACATACATTTGCAGGTAGTGTCTATCCACCCCTCACAGTTACTTTAACAACATTAAAACTAGCACAAATAACAAAATGCAGTATTTCTTTGCCCAACTTCTTTGGAGTAAAAGGAAACAACAGACAAAGACAAAAGGAAACCTACCTCCTCCTTGAAAACCTATTTCCCTGTGGCAGTTACAGTAATGGGGCACCAAAAGGACAGAAGCTGTGAATTTGCCTTACTGGCATATATTTGTGTGCTTTGACAACGTGATTACATTACTAAGTTCTTCTGAACCACTCATG